CTTACATATAATATAGTAGTTTTTACTTAAAAAAAATAAGTAAACTACTTTTATATAATTAACCTAAAGAATAAAGATGCTGCATAATAATATGTTAAGTAATGTGTAAAAAGAGCATATATTATATTTATGTGTTAACTAAAGGCAGCATTTAACCTATTTATTACTACATAAACTATAAACTTTTTATATAATAACATTAACACACTTAACACATAAATTTAATAGAATAAATAATAGTAAGTGTAGTCTTACTTTTTTACTATTACAGCTTAATTATGTAAAGCTGTTTATTTTTATAAATAGATTATTTACTAATAATAAAAACTTTAGCTTATAGCTAAGATTTTTAATTATATTAAGTAATAAAGACTATATAAAGTAAAGTAACTACTTTAAAATACTAGGCAACATTATATACTAGAATTCTACTAAGTGTAAAAGAGTAACTAGAAGTGTCTTTACTAGTAAACTATATAAAATAGTTAGAAAGTTTAATAATGTAATTACTCTTAGTATAACTTTATAGTAAATTATATAAATGCTTAAACTACTACTTATTCTAGTAGTAATTTACATAAATTTAAGGTTTCTATATAATTACTTTATTAAGCTAGGCACTACTAGTAAAAAGTAACTTATAATTAACATTATATTACTTTATAAATTATATAAAAAAAAATTACTAAGATTAAGTAGATTAATAGTAAAAATAACTTAGTAAATGTATGTATAAAAAAAACACTAAACTAGGCTTTTTAATTATTAGTCCTAACTAACTACCTCTCTGTCTAGATAGAAGCATCTGTAGACTAGCTAGATCTTATGCGTAAAGATGCTTTAAACTAACTAGACTAATAACGCCTTTATATAAAGCCTATTTTTTTTATTTTATTTTTTTTTATATTATACACACTTATTTTTCTTATTATAAGAATCTGTTACTGCTAGCACTGTATAAAAAGAGAAAAAAGCTAGAAGATTATACAGTAAGGCTTAGAAAGTAAAGAATAAAGAAAAGAAAAGCTATTTACATAGTGCAACTAGCCTATTCTAATGCACAGCATTACTAAGGCAAGTCCTAATAAATAAGGTAGAGTAAAGGTAGAATGTAATTAGATAGACTTACATAGATAAAAGGGAGGTAATGTGTATAAAAGGTAACTTTTTAGATAAAAAGAAAAGTTGCTAGTGTCTGTACACAGTAGCAGTGTTACAGCCTAGATATAAGTAATTATGCATAAGCAAAATTACATATCTATGTTACATAATGCTTGTGTGTAAACCTTTATGTGTAAACATCTAGATATTCTTTTTTTTCTTTATATAGAGGAAAAACAAGAGTAATAGAACTAGAAACATGTTGCCCTTACTTTACCTACTCTGTACGCTGTGCACACTGTACACCACTCTTACTCTTGCTACTTAAGTGCTTATACTATAAGCAGCTAGCTGTCGGAGCCTATTCAACACTAAGAATAAAATTTTAAGAGGATGTTCTACTGCACACTGCTGTTATATAAGCCTGTTAAGAATAACTAGAACTAAAACATGCTATGTTTACTATTAAGCTCTTATATAAAGCTTTATTTAGTAACTTATAAGCATTACTTTAAGTTACTATAGACTAAAAGGTAAACTAATACCTCTAAGAACTGCCTAATGTATACTACACAGACTGCTAATATAACTCTGTATAACAAAAAAAAAAGCTTCTCTCTACATAAAAAAGAATAATGTAGAAGATTTCTATCTAGGTTTAGGCTATAATCTAGAGATAACTGCACATAAATAAAGAAGTGCTTTGTCTGCTATAAAGAAAAATGTTAGTTATTAAACTACTCTTATAATAACTATATATAAGTAAAGAACTAGTATATTACCTTATATAAAGATTTTTATAATAAAACCTTATTATATAAAGCTATTACCTTATACATCTAAAACTTTAAAAGTTACTCTAAGAAAAAAAATAATTTGCATAATATAAAAAAAATAAAATAAAAAAGTAAAGATGCTAAGAAAGCTATTAATTACTTTACCTCTGCTACCTATCTACACTATGTAATAAAAGAGAACATCTACAGCATTAAACCTAAGAAGTATGCTAAGTAGTTTATCCTTAATAACTAATACTATATAGTATACTAAGGCAAACTATAGAACACAGGCGTAGTAAAGATTTTTACTATTAGTAAGTCTTAACTTAAGGCGTATATATAAGAGAACTTATGTATAAAAATTAATTAGACACCTAGCTAAACAGATATTAGCTTTAAAGGCTAGACACTAAAAGGATTAATTAGTACTATACAAATCTAGAACTTAATTAGTCTAGTTATATACTACATTCTAAAAACTCTAACACTATTTCTGCTATTACTAGCAGATGCTAACTAACTTAAAGTATACTTTAATAACATTTTAAATATTATTATATATAAAGATAAAAATACTATTTTTATTATATAAAAATAGAGACACTTTTTTAATATTAGTAAGAAAGAATCTATGTTCTTCTTTACTAAATTAGAACTCTACTACCTCTACTGCTAATTTAAACACCCCTATATAAAGAAACTCTAGAAGATGCTAACTAGCGCTAGCTACAACATTAATACTGTAGTATTAGAAGAGATTAAAAAGTTTTACTACTTTTACTAACTATATAACTAGGCTTTATAAAGATTTAAGTTTATAATTAAAAATAACACTTACTTTAACTATAAAGTTGTTATTAATGTTATATAAATTAATAATAAGAATGTTTTATATGTTATTAATGTAAACATATTATTTTAAGCTGCTACATTTCTAAAATCTATGTCTACATAAGATACCTAGGATGCACTGTGTAAATGCTAGATTAACACCTATTAGAGACCTCTAGACTACATTGTGCATAACCCTAGTATAAACTTTGCCTTAGAGGATTTTTAAGCTTGTGTAAAGATTATAGGAGCTACATGTAGGCAGATGCCTGTAGAAGTATATTAGTTAGTTAAAAAGGTTAAGCGTGTATACGCACTTCTTAGATAAGTGTTTAACATCTTAAAGACTAAGCTAGGTAACTATATAGATAATAAGGCTATCTTATAAATAGCAGTTAAGGCTCTAAATAACACAGCTAGCCTACACAGTCTAGTACCCACGCTGCTAGTCTTTAGAGTATACCTAAAAATTAACCTAGACTTTTTACTATTACTAGACATTATTACATAAGTAAGCGCAGTATAGAAGGTAATAAAAATACTTTAAAAAAACTATGTAAAAGTAAATATTAATTATATAATTAATACTTATAATAGCTTTATAACATATAAAGTTCTTAACTTTCCTCTTAGCTTAGAGATTATAGTATAGAGAGGGAAGAAAGGCTAGACTAGCTTATACAAGATTAAGAGCATTAAAAGAAGAGACATTATTATTAAAAAAAAATAGCCTACTAAAGCTCTAATGTACGCAGGTTAAACTGTACTATAAAGAAAAAGATAACCTACCTACAACAGATAACCTAAATAAACTAACTCTTATATAAAGAGATTCTTTATAGAAGAGGAAAAGAGAATAACTTTATAAAAATACTATAAAGGCAGAACTAAAGCTTACTATAAACTAAGCCCCTTAGGACAGCAATGCTGCACTAGTGCAAAAAGAAAATATAGATACTAGAAGAAGTAAAAGGTAAAAGAAACCTACATAAAGTCTAGACTAGGTATTTCTAACCTAGAAGAAAAAGAATAATTAAGCTTTATCTATTAAGCTTTATACAGATAGCGTAATTACTACACCTAAAAAACTATTTAAGAAATTAGACTATATAAAGATAAACACTTTAATTGTAACAGCGCAGGCAAGACAATAGGTCTAAATGCAGTAGGAGTCCACTTAGAGGCATATAGGAGTGCGTGGGGACTCTAAACCTAGGAATGCTATTAACACCTATAGGCCTTGTACAAAAGGATATTAGAAAACTACTAAGCTAGCTACGGGGGCGAGGTGCGACTAAATACATGAGGGAATAGGGGTAACAGCAGGGGTCGGGGCCAGGTCAGGGTCGGGGCCGATACGGGGGCCTTCCGGGCTATCTGAGATGGAACAATTCCTAAGGATCGTTATATTAATTACTAACAACACTTTTACAGTTATAGTGTATAACTTAATAAGGCATAAAAGTTAGATTTTTAACCTCTGCCTTATATAAAAAGTAAAAGGTAAAATAACCTAACTATATAAGAAATCCTGCCTAGTGTTTACTAGCTACTTAGATAAAAAGAAAAAAAATCTTTACCTAATTACTAACTATTTAAAGAATAAGCTAGAGACTACTTCTAGCTAAAAAAGCAAGCCTAAGAGCTATATATAGAATGTATTTTAAACTATATAATATTACATAAGCATACATTTAATTAATAGATAAGCTTATAGGCATGCTGTATATAAAGCTACTAAAGAAGATGCGCTAGAGCTTTCTACTAAATATAATACTCTAGGTTGTACAACCTTTGTATAGAGCTGCTAAATTAGGACTGTATTAGTTTAAGACATACTATAACTACTATAAAAAAAAGCTGTGTATGCATATCTCTTTATATAACCTCTACTTTTTAATTACTAATAAAGAAAAGCACACTTTTAGTATTACAGGCTTATAGATAGATAATACTTTAAGTATTATAATAAAAAATTTTGCGCAAAGAGAAGAGAAAAAACTATAAAAAGTAAAGTTCTGCATAAAAAGTAAAACTATTTTAGTAAAAAAGCAGCCTATTAAGTTTAATAGCAGAAGAATTAAACTTACGCATAATATAGTACTATAAAAGCATTAACTAACGTTATAAATCCTACTATTAGAACACTTAGGGTTATAAGCGGAGTGTCTTAGGGTAAGGATTCATTCAGAGAATTCCTATGTTCAACATAGAACTTATAGAAAGCTATAGTCTCTCATAACAGGACGCAGCACAATGAAAACCTTCTTTACTATGGAATTTACCCTTCACAAGTACAAATGATTAGAGTTCTTTCGTAATTTGTTACTCAACAGGTGCAACCATAGAACAGGGTCATAATCTTAAAATACGGCCCTTCATAGAGGTTCTGTACGCATTTGATTTACCTCTCTCCATAGTCATCGCAGTCTCACCACCTCGTCTTCTCGGTTTCCCTACCACTCAATCTCAATTAGTTCTCCTACCATAGACCTTCCCTCTTATACGATCTCGAATTTTCGCTCCACAATATCCCTTTCCGTAGTCTCGGTAACTTGTATGGATCGGCGTCTCCGGAATAGAAAAACAACTGCAAGAATAGCCAATAGAATGATGCCGGTCTCGAAACCGAATGCAGCAGCATCTTTGCTGAACAGTAAGGACATGGACGTATTCGATGGTGAGTGGGGTGGTATTGTGGAAAGATGTACAGATTCTGTCGTGAAGATGCTTCGTAGCGTTGTAGCTCTCGATACGATACTGTTGACTTCGTTCTCCGCATCGAGATGGGGTTTAAGGCGCTCGAATTTTCCTTTACTCATTATATATATGTGTGTGTGTTTGTTTTTGTTTGTTTGTTTGTACTAGGCTTCTTTCTCCCGGATTTAAGTCGACTTTTCTCCAGTATGGAAAATATCCCCAAGAAAAGGAAAAGTTGCTACCGGCTAAGACAACAAAGCGAAAGCAATGAAAAGAAACGGCGGTACGCTCGAAATATAAGCACCAGGCGAGTAGGTCCTCGTATTGAGCCCAGCAAACCTGTGGGGTGCGGCCATTGGCATGGACGCAATTCAGGCTATTTACCGAAGTTACCGTATCGCACGAATCATAATGTGAGTAGAGCGCCTTGTCAATATTTCTGCTCTGTTTCCGGTAAGATGAAATCGTCTTTTACGGTGAAAGGGGAATGGGAGCTGGTTGCAGCTGAGAAAGAATACGGATGCGTGTAAGAAGCGTACTATGGTATCAGGCATAAGTAGTGCACATGGACCGCGCACTGCAGGGGTCCTACCAGGGTTATCTTCGGATGTCGTTAGGTCTCCCTAATGACAAAAATACACCTAATCCTATATAGTTTTGTATAGAATTGCGTGTACCTCTGTCGCCAGCTGCATTAACGCGTCACATTGTTTATCTCACTACAATGTTAACTCCATCCACCCCCCCTTACCATCAATACCTCTCGCGCGACAAACGCCTACAGGTGCAGACGCTGCATCTCACTAGCCACAACTAAACCTCTATATGTAACTGTTACGGTCTATGGTTGGACCAACGTAACTCCACCCGAAGTGCTCCACAATCTAGCTAGGTTGGGGCAGAGCTCGTTTACGGACCAATTGGGAGATGCGGAGGCAGCGCACCTGCCTATAACCACAGAAGAATGCATTATCTAGTAGAAAGGGATGCTAAGGAAAGGGAACAAGCCTAAGCAAGCCTAGCAAGCTAAGAATAAAAGCTTATCTAAACTTACTTAACTTATTCTCAGCACTATTAGACATGTATAGTTCTAACCTTAAATAACTTTTAAGAGGTATGTTTAATGTTTAGTTTATTTTTTATATAGACTAAGTAGTATTTAGCTTTCTAAAGAGCTGTAATACTATTTATATATCTTATAACATATATACCTCTAATTTTGTCTAACAGGACTGTTTAACCTAGCTACTATACTACTGCTATAGGGACAAACTACAATCTAGTTACTCTACCCTACTCTATTAGCCTACTAGCTATTACGTAGGACTGTACACCCTGCTGTTAACCCCTACCTTTTATCCTACCCTACTAAGAATAACATTAACCTAAGTGCTTTATAAAGTAAGAATTATAACATTAAACACTATACCCTTTAAAAAGTATAACTACTTAATATAACCTTAATTCTAATATAGCCTACATAGCTTTATTAGGATTATAAGAAGTTCTAACAGCTAATAAAGAAATTTTAGTAAAATAGATTAATAGTATCTAGAATAACATTAAAAAACTTTAATAAATTAGTAATAAAATTAATAAGCTAGTTAGTTTTTATAAAAAAGTAAAAAACTTATACTAAAAAATAGTAGAATTTAATAGCTAACTTACACTTTTAAATTTTTAATTAGCTATAAGCTCTATAAACTAGATACACATGCTATAAGTAAAGCTAGCTAAACTTTAGAATATCTTAACTAAGAAAGTAAGCATTATAGCTAAGAAAACTTTAAGACTATTCTTTTTAAAGCCTTTTAAAGAATTACCTAAAAACTTTTACCTCTTTTTTACTAGATGTTACCTTTATATGTAATATAATAAAGGAGCATTTTAAACTAATAGAGAAATAATATCCTAGATAGAACTATATTTAAAAGAACCTTTTATAATCTAGTTCTAGCTACACACAGATAACTAGATAGACTTTAGAGCTAACATCTCTACACTAAATTCTAAAACTAAAGAAATATTTAGTAGTGTAAAAGCCTTTAAAGAAGCTCTAATAGCTATTTATAAAACTATAAATAAATAAAAAAAATTGCAGCTAATAAACTAGATGCTCTAAAATAAGAAAAAAAAATAGCCTAGTACTATACAGCGCGTTTTAGAGAGTAACTAGCTATCTGTAGATAGACAGACTAAAAGGCCTTTTACTAAATGTTTTACAACAGCTTAAAAGACATAATAAAAAATAAATTTACATATAATAAAAAACTAACTACTTTTAAAATTTTTATTATAAAAGTAATACTTTATAATAATAGGTATAAGAAATGTAAAAGAGAAAAACAGTGTAAAGAAGCTCTCTAAAAACCTAAGTTTATTCCTAAGAAAAAAAAAGCCTTTTATTATAATAAAAAACTAATAAACTTTAGTTACATAAAATATATATAAAGCTTCTTCTTAAAGAAAAGCTAAGCCTTTAGACATAATAAGCTGCTTTTAACTAAAGAGTAATAAAAGTAGCTAGAGAATAAGGCCTGCCTAAACTATAAAAAAGTAGGACATTTCTGCTAAAATTACCTAGACTTCTAGAAAAAAGAGAATAAAAATACTACTATAATAGTAAAAGCTATTACTACTAAATACAGCCTTATAGATAAGAAAATATTAAAAATATTAAATAATAGACTTTACTAGTAATGTAAAAAAAACTATTTTTTAAGAAACTACTTTAAACTATATTCGTAACGATTCTCGTTCCATCTCGGGTCGCCCGGAACCTATCCGAAGGGTCCCTGTATCAGCTCCGACCCTGACTCGATTCTCATGAATTGTCAGGTCGCCTAGAACCTCCGGAAGGCCCCTGTATTAGCCCCAACCTTAACCTGGCCCTAACTATGCCCTGCCCCCTGCTGTTACCTCTATTCCCTTATGTATTTAGTTGCACCTTGCCCCTATAGCTAGCTTAGTAGTTTTCTAATATCCTTTTGTACAAGGCCTATAGGTGTTAATAGCATTCCTAGGTTTAGAGTCCCCACGCACTCCTATATGCCTCTAAGTAGATTCCTACTGCATTTAGAACTATTGTCTTGCCTATGCTGTTACATTATATTAAAAAACTTACTTTTGCTAGTAATAGCTTTATTATAATATTATACTAATTATTTATTTAACTATGTTTAAGCTCTAAGACATGTTTAATTTAGTTTAAGTTATAATACTTACACACTATTATATTAAACTATTTAGTCTATAGACTAGATTTTATTAACCTTTAGTTAACTAAAGCCTTTAGGTTTAAAACTTTCTATCCTCTATAATTAAGATTGCCTTTAGAAAAGTTATAAAAAGGTGCTAAAGTAAAAACTTAGAGACTACTAATAACTTATTAGAATTAAAGATAACTGCTAATGTTTAACTAACTACTACTACCTTTTAATTCTAGAATTAAAATACGCTCTAACTAAAGCAAGCCCTTTAGAGTTAATTAATAATCTATGTTAACAGCTAAACCTGCTTCTGCAGCACCTAAAGCTATACCTCTACTTAATTTAAAGTTAACCTCTAGTAGTATATTTATTAATAATTAGACTACTTAATTATAAGTATAGCTTAAGTAGCTAATTTAGCTAAAAACTGCTAGTTAACTTTTACTAACTACTAAATTACCTCTAATAACACTTTATACTTGTAAGGCCGGATGTCCCAGAACGGGCTAGTATGGCCTCACCTGACCTGTTTGGAGGTCGTATGACCTGTGCTTCGTATATAAGCATGAATCCTGACAAGCGAAGCTTGGCAGCGATTCGTCTCTCTTACAATACACTCCTATCTTTCTCCGAAAGCTTGCTCTCAGTGCTATCCGTGCTACTTACCATCCCATCTTTACAATACTACCCTTACTACTTTAAGTGTAAGAGACCTTTTAGGCACTTTTTAAACTTAGTAAATCTACTTTACTAAACACATGCCTAAGATTAAGATCTTTATAAATAGCAAAAAACCTATGTTTAAATAATAGTAAGCCTTTATTATAGACAGACTTAACATTAATTTAGATTACTATTAGAGTAAGTGTGCACACATAGCATTAATATAGGGACACACAGCTAGTATTGCAAAGGATTATCTAGAGCTAGGATACCTAGCTAAATTAGACTAGTTTTAGTTTAAAAGTGTAAAGAATATAATAAAGCTCTTATAAGCTTATTTTATTACTAGTTAGAAAAAGACTAAGGCATAGTAAGTATTCTAAACTTTTAAGATAGATAAAGTAGAGGCTTTTTTTATATTTAAAGCGCGCTTTATTAGTGCAGCTATTAAAAAAAAGTGTTCTAGTTAGATTAGTCTTTTTACTTATAAAAGAAGCTTTTTTCTAGCCTATAAGTACTAAATTATAGTTTTAAACATACCTAGGTAAACTTTTTTAAAGCTATAGTAGCCTACCTTACAGCGTATAATTTAAAAAAAGGACTTATAAAAAAGACTTTATTATTATATTTAAATTAGCTTTAATTAATAAACTATACTTACTACTTTAATAATTAATAACTGCATGCGTAGCGTTTAGGTTTAGAGGACACTACTAGCAGTGTAAAGAAATACTTAGTAAGAACACCTAGCTAAATTAGACTAGTTTTAGTTTAAGAAGGCAGAGGACATAACAGTAACACTTTATACTATAATTACTACTAATAGAGACTATTAGTTTACAGAGAGGAGAGTAGTGTAATAATTTTTATTTTATCTTAAGTTACTTAAAACCTATTTAAAGAGTCTTTATATTAGCTTTAACTTTAACTTAATTCTTATAAATTATTAAGTTGCTTAGAACCTCTAAAAGGCTGTTATATTAGCTCTAACCTTAACCTAGCCTTAACTATGCCCTGCCCTCTACTGTTACCCCTATTCTCTTATGTATTTAGTTGCACCTTGCCTCTGTAGCTAGCTTAGTAGTTTTCTAATATCCTTTTATACAAGGCCTATAGGTGTTAATGGCATTCCTAGGTTCAGAGTCCCCACGCACTCCCATATGCCTCTGAGTGGATTCCTACCGCATTCGGACCCATTGTCTTGCCTGCGCCGTTACAATATTAAGAAGTAGTTATAAACTTTAGTAGCCTTAATTAAGTGTTATAGGGCCTTATAATTCTTAAAAAATACTAAGAAAAAACTTAAATTTAAGGATATATTATAAATATTAAAAAAGAAAAGAAATAATTTTTCTTTAATAATAAAACTTTAGGCACTTTAGTATAGAAACTCTTTAGACAGTTCTAGAGCTATTTATGCTAGAAGTGTAGATAGCAACATAATTACCTTAGAAAATGTATAGTGTTACTACACTAAATAAACATTAGTAATAATTATAGAATGTTTAATATAGTATAATAAATAGCTAAAGTAAAATATAATGTTATAAATAAAAAAATTAATAGTAGTTCTTTATAAAGATCTATAACTAGAAGCTTAAAGGACTAGGCAGACCTGCTAGGTTTAAAGTTTTAAAGCT